GCATTAAGTAGATTGCTAAATCTCTGATTACACACAGCCTTGTATATCCATTCCTGCTTTCTAAGCAGTCAAAAGCTGCTTTTGTGTCATATATTGCATATGAAAAACAGAGCATATGCAACCAATGATTCCTCAAACCAGAGAAATATTTAAGCAATTTTGGCAATTAAGAGATTTTTTTTTTTTAATGTAAGAACAGTGTAAAAAATTATGTAAAAGCTTATGAAATTTTCCTCAAACCAGAGAGATATTTAAGCAATTTTGGCAATTAAGAGATTTTTTTTAAAAATGTAAGAACAGTGTAAAAAATTATGTAAAAGCTTATGAAATTTTTGTCTTAAAGGGATAGTTCACCCAAAAATGAAAATTACCCCATGATTTACTCAGCCTCAAGTCATCCAAGGTATATATGACTTCCTTCTTTAGACAAATACAATCGGAGTTATATTTAAAAATGTCCTGGCTCTTCCAAGCTTTATAATGGCAGTGAATGGGGGTCCAGATTTTGAAGCAAAATAAAGTGTGTCCATCCATCATAAAAAGTGCTCCACACACTCCGGGGGATTAATAAAGGCCTTCTGGAACGAAGCAATGCGTTTGTATAAGAAAAATATCCATATTTACAACTTTATAAACCATAATCTCTAGCTTCCACTAACTGTCGTACGCGTGTTCATGAGAGAGTGGCATTTCATTTTTGGGTGAACTATACCTTTAAGTTTTTAAAGTCACATGGCGAATGCCATTTTGCTAAAAGATAAGTTTTAATATTTCTGCTTGACTTCCCTCCTTCGTTAATGAGAACATTTCGAAATGATCAAATGCTGAGGAGAGAATATAAGTGGGTCAGATGCATTCAGGGTGAGATTGCTGAGAGAGGGAAAGGCTTTTTCTCTTAGAGAGCGTGGGATTCGGGATCCTGGCCAGTAATATCAGGAGAGTTGATATCCTGTTCTGGTTTAGCCATTTCCTTGACTTTGCTGCTGTTTTATTTGCTAGGTCAATGACAGGATCAGAGTGCGGCAGGAAATATATAATTCAGAATGAGCATATAGCATGTCAAATCAGGATGCTTATTATTCCTCTCTCTTCCTCAAATGCCAGTTATATAAAAAGATATATGCATGTCCTGGTGTGAATTAGCAACGGCCACATTATGAATTAGTATTCTTGACATTTCTTTTCTCGCTTTCACTCTTTCTCTCTTCACTCGCACACTGGCAAGCTGTGGTGGCACACTGAGCTTATTATGAGTCTGCTGCATGTGCAGCGGTTAAAGCAACACATTTGTTCTCTTTTACTTAATAAATCAGCTTCTCTTCCTGCCTTCGTCTTTTGTTCCCTATATCGCTCCATTTATCTATCTCTCGTAGGTTATTAATCCATATTTGACAATAACAACTGACATCATGATTAAATTAACTCTTAAATTCTATGTTGTTTGTATTTCCAGGGGCTGTTTTGAATCTGTAATAATGCATTTACAGAAAATGAATCCTTTCAATCAGATCTCAATTCCCCTCAATAAGCCGATATCCTGAGTCTTTGATAGTCTCTGAGTTTTAATAAAATGTTAAAGCTGGTATGAGTTTCAATAAATTAGGCTGTATAGTCTATTCTTTTATTATTATTATTATTATTATTATTATAGCTTTATTTCAATGATGGTATTCCTTCATTTTGCTCTGATAGTCACACAGTGCTGACATTTCAGTGTGTTGGAGATTAGAGCAGTATAATGATAGACTCTGCACTTAATTGGTCATAATTACCACAATTATTATCCAAGAGTCTTCAACATATTATCCGAGGGTCTTAGGCCATTTTTATTGACCTACATTCAGGGTCGGTAAGATTTTTGTATATTTTTGAAAGATGTGTCTTATGTTCACTGAAGGCTGTGTTTATTTTATCAAAAATACAGTAAAACAGTAATAATGTGAAATATATGAAAATGTAATTTATTCCTGTGATGGCAAAGCTGAATTTTCAGGAGTCATTACTCCAGTCGGCAGTCATATCAGTCTTCAGAAATCATTCTATATGCTCAATATGCTCAAGAAACATTTCTTATTATTATTATGTTATTCACTTCTTTATTTTAAAAAAATCTTACTGACCCCAAACTTTTAAACAGAGATATATCCCAGCTATGTAAATGATGGATTTGCAGTAATTTTCTTATACCACTTTTTATGTAAAAGACTGATTTTCGGGGTTGGGTGTTTGAGTTTTCCTTTCTTTTCCTCTATGACAGAATGTGAATGAACTGTAACAATGCAATACAGTATGGCGCGTCTCTGACACCCTGCTGCTCTTCAGTTTGATTGTAATTGAAAGGGTTTATTTCTGTAGAGCTGCGAATGAGAAACTTCAACCGTAATGTCTTAAGTCAAATATTTGTTCCAATCTATCACACTGACATAATAACCTGATTTTATTTACAGTCACAGGAAAGACGATGCAACGGAAGGGTTTTTGACAGCACACACCTGCTGCCAGGTCGATAATTAGTCTTGTGTGAAAAAAAATGCAAATGATGGGAGTAAAGACTCCATACTAACCAAGAAATCGAAAATGTAGATTTGCTTGTCATTCTCTTTGTTGCATTGTGCAGCATTTTTCATTCAAGGGGTGATTTAAATTACAGATACATTAAAAAGCTACATTAAGTAAATTAAGCATTAAGTAGATTGCTAAATCTCTGATTACACACAGCCTTGTATATCCATTCCTGCTTTCTAAGCAGTCAAAAGCTGCTTTTGTGTCATATATTGCATATGAAAAACAGAGCATATGCAACCAATGATTCCTCAAACCAGAGAGATATTTAAGCAATTTTGGCAATTAAGAGATTTTTTTTAAAAATGTAAGAACAGTGTAAAAAATTATGTAAAAGCTTATGAAATTTTTGTCTTAAAGGGATAGTTCACCCAAAAATGAAAATTACCCCATGATTTACTCAGCCTCAAGTCATCCAAGGTATATATGACTTCCTTCTTTAGACAAATACAATCGGAGTTATATTTAAAAATGTCCTGGCTCTTCCAAGCTTTATAATGGCAGTGAATGGGGGTCCAGATTTTGAAGCAAAATAAAGTGTGTCCATCCATCATAAAAAGTGCTCCACACACTCCGGGGGATTAATAAAGGCCTTCTGGAACGAAGCAATGCGTTTGTATAAGAAAAATATCCATATTTACAACTTTATAAACCATAATCTCTAGCTTCCACTAACTGTCGTACGCGTGTTCATGAGAGAGTGGCATTTCATTTTTGGGTGAACTATACCTTTAAGTTTTTAAAGTCACATGGCGAATGCCATTTTGCTAAAAGATAAGTTTTAATATTTCTGCTTGACTTCCCTCCTTCGTTAATGAGAACATTTCGAAATGATCAAATGCTGAGGAGAGAATATAAGTGGGTCAGATGCATTCAGGGTGAGATTGCTGAGAGAGGGAAAGGCTTTTTCTCTTAGAGAGCGTGGGATTCGGGATCCTGGCCAGTAATATCAGGAGAGTTGATATCCTGTTCTGGTTTAGCCATTTCCTTGACTTTGCTGCTGTTTTATTTGCTAGGTCAATGACAGGATCAGAGTGGGGCAGGAAATATATAATTCAGAATGAGCATATAGCATGTCAAATCAGGATGCTTATTATTCCTCTCTCTTCCTCAAATGCCAGTTATATAAAAAGATATATGCATGTCCTGGTGTGAATTAGCAACGGCCACATTATGAATTAGTATTCTTGACATTTCTTTTCTCGCTTTCACTCTTTCTCTCTTCACTCGCACACTGGCAAGCTGTGGTGGCACACTGAGCTTATTATGAGTCTGCTGCATGTGCAGCGGTTAAAGCAACACATTTGTTCTCTTTTACTTAATAAATCAGCTTCTCTTCCTGCCTTCGTCTTTTGTTCCCTATATCGCTCCATTTATCTATCTCTCGTAGGTTATTAATCCATATTTGACAATAACAACTGACATCATGATTAAATTAACTCTTAAATTCTATGTTGTTTGTATTTCCAGGGGCTGTTTTGAATCTGTAATAATGCATTTACAGAAAATGAATCCTTTCAATCAGATCTCAATTCCCCTCAATAAGCCGATATCCTGAGTCTTTGATAGTCTCTGAGTTTTAATAAAATGTTAAAGCTGGTATGAGTTTCAATAAATTAGGCTGTATAGTCTATTCTTTTATTATTATTATTATTATTATTATTATAAAATGTAGTTCCTCAACCTTTCTAAAGCCCTTTTTGCTCTACTCATATAAGTCCGTTTGCTCCTGCCCTACATGTCTTCTTTAGACACTAATGACTGTTACGGTTACTTTAGCAATTTCATGTGCTTCCATTTGTAAAAATCTGGTACCAGAATAGTATGGATGAGAGTTCTAATAGTCTAATTATAATACATTTTATATAATGAATTTTGTTGCCACAGGAAATGTCCATGCTAAAAGGTCTCATGTCAAACAGCATAGGGTTCTGGAAGAGACCATTTGAATATGTGAGCAGAGCTGCTGTATGTATGTAGGGTCCATGCCACACCTGCCAGTGTCAGTGACTTAAGATAATTTAATGGCCATACATTTTCTTGCCATACTAATGTTCATAAAAATAAACTGTGTTTTTTATTTTTATTTTATTAAAATAATTATATATTTTTTTAAATATTAGATTTATTTATTTATTTGCAGCATTTCATGTGTTGTTTCATGTTATGTTTTTTTATTTTAATTCTACTGTATATCAGCACAGGGCCAGATTATCATTTTTAATGAAATTCCCAGCTAACCAGCAAATGTGTCCTAGTTTTATTAGTGAACTCTTAGAATTTGTAGAATTCTTAATATTTTCTTTCCTTCGGTTAATATTTAATAAGGTTAATATTTTCTCTCCTCCATTTCAGACTTATAAAATGCAATAAAAAGTTAATTCCCCCACCTCCATACACATTATTACTCTCTATCTGCTTCTTTTTCTCTTTCTCAGTCTGAAATCAGTTCTTTCAAGCCCTCCATCCAGTGGGACATTAGAACTGTCTGGCATCCCTCTTGGAGTGAAAGACATGGAGCGTCTCTGTGCCTACCTGCATCACCACGCATCCCGCATCGGCAGCGTAGAGATGGGCTTCACCGAGCTCACAGACGATGCCTTCCTTCTGCTCCTCCCTATGCTGGCGTCTCTTCCCCGCCTTGAGACTCTGGCCCTCAATGGCAACAGGATGACCCGTGCTGTGCTCAAAGAGCTCACGGACACACTGAAGGACCCGGACAGCTTCCCCAGCGTCACCTGGATCGACCTGGGGAACAACGTTGACATCTTCTCCCTCCCACAACCATTTCTGGTGAGTCTGCGCAAGCGCTGCCCCAAACAGGGCAACCTTCCCACCATCCTGGAGTTCGGCGAGAGCCAGGCCAGCGAGCCAGAGGGCAGAGTGGATGAAGACGATGCAGATGATACAAACAGGACAGAGAGTATGGGAGAACTCAGATCTGAGGTAGAAGAAGAGATTGACGGTGAGATGGAGATCGAGGACATGATGGAGGAGTTGCTGGACTTTGACAGGGAGGTGCAAGGCAAGGAGGATGAGGACGATAGTATGTGGACCTTGGAGGAGCAGCGGCTGGTAAAAGATCCAGTTGCAAAGCGGAGCAAAGAGAAGAGGGTGTTCAAAGCAGAGGGCGAAGAGGACTTACAAAGCCAGTCTTCCCATCTGTCCTGCTCCAGCCAGTCACAGCACTCTTCTGGAGCCATCGAGCCTTTAAGAGAAGACTCTGTGCCAGACCAGTTAGCATGTCCTTCGAACAACCCTACCTGATTGAAGCCACTGTGTAATTTGATTAGAGTCTGGTCCCTTTAAGAAAAAGAGAAAGCGTGACAGGCTTGTTTTCAGACTGGGTTATCCATGAAGTCAAGGGTTTTATAGGGTTGACAATCACAGCGGTTGTCTGTTGTTGCAAAGGAGAAAAGAATCACTTGTGAGGTAACAAAAAATATCAAATGTACCTTCTCATTCAGGTTTTTCCCTTCACTGTCATGTTAATGTGTAGATCCAGTCACAAAGCAAATAAAAGAGGGTGTCAAAAGCAGGGGTGAAGAGGACTTACAAAGCCTTTTGCTCCAGCCTTTCACAGCACTTCTCTGGAGGCAACAAGCCCTTAAGAGAAGATTTTGTCCCAGACCAGTTAGCATGTCATTCGGGCAGTCCTACCTGATTGAACCCACTGTCTAATTTGATTTCTGAGTCTGTAACCTTCATCCCTTTAAAAAGAGAGAATGGTAGGAAGAGCGTGATAGGCTTGTTTTTAGTTACCCATGAAGTCATGGGATTCAGCAGGTTTAAAAGGGAAGACAATCATGGCTGCTGTCTGTTTTTGAAAAGAAGAAATGAATCACTTATGAGGTAAAAAAAAAAAAAAATCAAATATACCTTGACATTCAGGTTTCCCCCTTCACTGTCATAAAAATGTAAAATATCCACAAAGTGGAGCAAACAGAATAGGGCGTCCAAAACCAATCTTCCCATCTGTCTTGCTCCAGCCAGTCACAGCACTCCTCTGGAGCCATCGAGCCTTTAAGAGAAGACTTAGTCCAAAAACAGTTAGCATGTCATTCAGACAACGCTACCTGATTGAAGCCGCTGTTTTATTAAATTAGTGTCTGTAAACTTCGTCCCTTTAAGAAAAAGAGAAAGTGTGACTGGCTTGTTTTCAGACTGGGTTATTCATGAAGTCATGCAATTCAGAATGGTTTTATAGGGTTGAAAATCACGGTGGTTGTCTGTTGTTGCAAAGGAGAAATGGTTCACTTGTTAGGTAAAAAATATCAAATATACCTTCTCATTCAGGTTTTCCCTGTCATCATAAAAAATAACCATCATAAAAATATCAAATATACCTTCTCATTCAGGTTTTCCCCGTCGCCATAAAAAATATCCATCATAAAAATATAAAATATACCTTGTCATTCAGGTTTTCCCCATCATCATAAAAATTATCCATCATAAACAATATAAAATATACCTTCTCATTCAGGTTTTGTCTTAACCATGAACCTCTGTGTGCCTATGTGCCTGTTCAAACCCCTGCTGGAGAAGCGTGTGTGTGTAGGTGCACATTTAGATCAACATGCTGGATATAAGCAGATTGGTTTGGACGTCATGAATTGGTGTGTCCATCCATGCATCTGACTGTCACAAGCATCATGTTCTCTCCAGCAGTGGAAAACAACCTAAATTCTATTCAATATCGTCCATTGAATATGCATGTCCCGGGTTTCAGGCGGATGGGACGCTGATGAGCTCAGATTAAGTGCCCCTAATTTATACAGTGGAAAACCAAAATTTTGTCACAGTGTTGGCCCAAAACAGTATGTTTGATTGATACAGCAGTGGGACTGAAGCCAAAGAGAAAAGACTCACTCCACAGAAAAAAAAAAAAAGTGTTGTTTGGCTATATGATAGTAATAGTTATTCTGTTGTTGCTGCTTGACATGGATTTTGAAGTCAGTGTAAGGTTTCTTAGCTCTGTTCTTTAAACTCTGTTCTTTAAAATAGATCCTTTAAACACTAAAATGATATTAAGATTTTGTTTCTATTTATCCACTGTTATTAAATGATAAAGGTATTTCATAGTATAAGCATCTATTTAGTGCCTAATTAAAATTTTACATTATTTAAATGTAATTCAAACTAGTTCTGATATGCCAGTAAATTAAAAGTATTGTTTCAAAGACAATGCATATTTGATTAGACAGATTTGAAAACAGTTGTTTTATTTCATTATTTAAAATTACGTAATAGAGAACTAGGATTTATTATATCTCGTTACTAGGCTACTTTGTATAATATCATGCTTGCATGCAAAAATCTTGTTCAGTGTTATTTTAAGTAAAATTAGCACCCTCCCCGAATGATGGTTTATAAAATTAATTATTAAGCCTAATTAAAGGAAGCTCCTGTAATAAAGTTAACCAATATATTTCAGATTATCATATCATTTTATTATGGTCACCAGGTAGCCTCAAAATATCCTGCTGTTTTTCAAAGCCATACTTCTAGACAAGTTCTGCCATTACAGAAAGGGAATTATGATGATAAAAGTGCACTGAGGAGCTATGATCAATGAATTTTGTCAGTATTTCTGTATTCCCACAATGGTTAGCAAATAGAATGCTAGGGATGACAAGGAACAGCAATATGTGTATATGATTATTTGTAAACAAAACAAAATGTATTTGACTGTTGGCATCAAAATCAATAAACCTTTAAGAAACATACAATTAATTTATGCGTTAAACAGTACATAAAATGTTGGACTGTTAGAGCTCTGGTAAAAAAAAAAAACAATACACAGGTAAACGATTGCATTGCGTTTGTGCACCGGATCATTGAGCTGTAATTGAACGGGACTGGTGGAAGGAGGACCGTAAGCTATTAGTAATCGATGTCGACACCTAGTGGTTGGCAGTTCTTTCGTGCATGGACTCGCTTGTTTTATGTAAACTATAGTGTTTACGTACTTCCGCTTCTTTCCTTTTTGCAATTTACAACTCAAACGACCTTAGAGTGTATTAGCAAATGAGGCTATTAATTGTTCGATAAGAAAATTCGTTTATAAAAATAAGCATGGACCAACAAGGCCTATAAAAATACAGTTTAGACTGCTGGAAATTTAAATCGGCAACTCTTGTTAATCATGATCTGGTTTTCAGTTGGTCGTTGGCTGGTAGGCATCAGCAACAAACAAGATACTATCTGGTCAAATAAAGCTGAATTGGGAAAAATAGCTGGACAGCCATGGACTTAATGACCATCTTGGACCAGCTATAAACCACTGGACTGAACTGGATTTTCTTTAGCGACTATCGTGTTTTTTGAGAAACTTTATTTAAAGTTAAATAAAGAGCGGAAATTCGTCTTTGACACTGGCTAGAAAAATAATACATCCACTTACATACATACACACATTATCAAACACAGCTCAAACAAATTACTAAAACTATGGATTAATAATAGTATGAATACGAATATCATTAATCGTGTGGATGTAAAGATGTAAAATATATATAATATACTAGTAAATAAATGTAAATATGTTACTAAGTTAATTAAAACGAAACCAGGTGTGTTCATATAAAAAACACAAATTATGTAATAAAAGTAAATACAATTGTAAAGTATTTGCAACAGTCAATGAAACTGCAGGGACTATGGCCTCATTTTCAACATTGACCGCATCAATATGGCAACTTATAGGCACCGTCTTAATCGACTGTGTTATTGCATCACTTCCGGGAAATAAGGTCAAAAATTGTTTCCCTTGTCCGCCATTTGAAATATTTGAACTTCCTTGTGACAACTTCCAATGTACGTTTTGGTTTACACTGAACAATTATCAGAGGATCTGGGCGAATAGTCGTAGTTTTTGTGTCTCATGCATGTTGGGATTCCGACGTCGGCTGTTTTCTTACCCGATTGGAACAAAAAAGCGTAGAAAAGTGTGCGAATGCTGCGCGTATTCGAAACGTGTTCAACAACGGAACGCGGTAAAGTTTTTGCATGAGTTGAACGCTGCTTGCGGATAAGGAGAGGCGAAGGGAAGGCCTGTGAAGCCTGGGCTTTTTTCTTGCGCTAGTCATGGCCGGAAATTTTGATTCGGAGGACCGAGGGGGCTGGTATTGGGGGAGATTAAGCCGGCAAGAGGCGGTTTCGCTGCTCCAAGGGCAGAGGCATGGAGTGTTCCTGGTGCGAGACTCGATCACTATTCCCGGGGACTACGTGCTGTCTGTGTCGGAGAACTCCAAAGTCTCTCATTACATTATAAACAGCATCAGCAGCAATCGCCAGTCCGGACCAGGTAAGCGGTGCATGTAAAAATACTGCCAACGACGGGACGAAGAAAAACTGCTTTAGCAAAACGCATAGCAGCTCGACGAGAAACTTGTGTAACATGGTTAGTCTACGTTACTACGAACAGTTCTGCACATTCAGTCTGGTTTTTGGCGTCATTCTAGTAACGTAGTAATTTAGCATTCTCTGTTACACATAATCGGTTATTTTTCAGTATAAACCGTATTTTTTTGGTCCAGTCATTCAGATATTTTAGATGTTTTAACATGTAATGTGAATCATATATGTTTTTATGATGTAATGTGAATCATATATGTTTTTATGACAAAACACTCACTTTTTTGTTTGTAGACGCTGTATGTGCAGTAATGCTGAATTAACAATTACGCAGCTTTTTCCCTGGTTTGAGCATAAAAATGTGTGGTATTTTCAAAAATAGTGATGTTTAGACAACAATAATTGTAATTGTTTTAATTATTATTTCCACTATTTAGTGAAGACTTCATAGACTAAGTTTAAGCAAATCTTGTTCGTCCATTCATCATTTGTGCTTTCTTGCTGTCGTCCTGCAGGACTCGCTCCTCCTCGGTTCCGTATTGGAGATCAGGAATTTGACGCCTTACCTGCCCTGTTGGAGTTCTACAAGATCCACTACCTGGATACCACCACTCTCATTGAGCCCATCAACAAAGCCAAGCACTTGTCCTTCATCAGCGTCAATGCAGGAACAGGAGGAGCTCCTCAGAGGCTGGAAGAGGAGTATGTCCGAGCCCTCTTCGACTTTCCCGGCAACGACGACGAGGACCTCCCGTTTCGAAAGGGCGATATTCTAAGAGTTCTGGAGAAGCCGGAGGAGCAGTGGTGGAACGCTCAGAATTCAGAAGGCCGTGCCGGCATGATCCCCGTGCCTTATGTGGAGAAGTACCGGCCAGCCTCGCCAACATCAGGGGGCACTGGGGGGTCTGTTGGAGGATCTGGAGCTCACGGCAACTCTGACGGCCACAGTTCTCAGTCTCAACCTCTGCTTGGCGAGCCAGGCCAATATGCCCAGCCAACATCCTTACCCAATCTACAGAATGGTCCAG